TGTGTGTGTGTGTGTGTGTGTGTGTGTGTGTGTGTGTGTGTGTGTGTGTGGACACTATCTCACTATGTAGCCCTAGTTGGCTTGGAACTCTATATATATCACAGGATGGCCTCAAACTCCCTTGCCTCTAACTCTTGAGTCCTAGGATTACCGGCATGCATCACTATGCCCGGCCTTCTGTTGCACTTTTTAAAATAAAGCCAGAGTGGGCAAGGTGGCTCAGTGGGTAAAGGCACCTGCCCCTGAGGCTGACAGAGTGGGTTCAATCCCCATGACCTACATGATGGAAGAGAACTGACTCCTACAGGTTGTCCTGACCTCCATAAACAATGACACACACACACATAGGCACACAGACGCCTGTGCCCCAACCCCCTATCCCCCCCGGCGTGTGCGCACGCGTTCACAAAATAAAATAAAATCCAATTTCCATGCAAAGCCAAAAGGAGAGCGTGCCCAGAAACAGCCGTGAGCACTAACCTAACTCTGGGCCCCTGAGGTCCCCCACAGAGGATGAGAGCTCCCAGGCCTGAGCATCTGAGCTGTATCAGGTATGTGTAGCACTTAATCAAGGTACTAACAGGTATTCCAGCCTTTTGAAGTTTCTCCACCTTTGCTTGTTTCTTATAAAGGTTGGGCCCTCACTGGAGCTCTCAGAATTCCAGAAGGACAGAAAGGGGGACATAATTACCAGCTGTAGATGATGGGCCCTCTGAACTGGGGTCTTGAAGGGCAGGCAAGGTCTGAAGGGTACATGTTCTGGAGCTTTTCAGGCCCATGGCTGCATGTAAGACTAATAATACAGGGAAGGCCCCCTTCAGTGCCAAGATGATGGCACCAAGACAGGAAGCTCTCCACCAAGGCCCAGCACCAGCGTTGTCCTTACCCAGTGTGATGCTAACTACCCTAACGGAGCCTCGCCAGTGCCCACCCCAGCCTGTCTCCAGAGACCCCAGAGAGGAAGACTTCTCAAGGAGATCAAATTTCCCAACCAGGGGTGGAGTTTAAGCCTGCTGTTTAGGCTGCTTTTTGTCACCCAGGCCTCAACACATCCCAGTAGAGAAAAAGCTAGGATCCCCAGCCTGCCTTGAGAATGAGATCCACAGGGTAACAGCATGGATGGGCCAAAATGCAGGCCAGTGCTCTAACCCTTGGGCTTCCCTGTCTATATCCACAGGGGCCCCCACCTCCAACAGCATATCCATGGGCACACCCTAGCTGTCTGGCCTTTCAGTGACATTTACCCTCCCAGGGAAGCATGTGAAGCAGCCCAGAAATAACTCAGCCTCCAGGTCACAGAAAACTGATCTGGGGGGTGGGGGCTGGGTCAGGAAAGCCTGCAGGGTGCTCCCGAAAGCTGGTCCCTAGAGGCCTTTGAAAGGCCAGTGAGTGTTGCCTATGGCAGAGGTACATGGGAGTCCCTTGTAACATCCTTTTGCATTCAAGGGTCTGGACTATCAGTCCAAGGAAGGTGCCCACAGTGGTCCAAGCCCTGAGTTCTGGTCTCTGGTCTATTCAGGTGCCCCTTAAGTGGCCATCATCAGAGGAGGGACCAGGCTTGGCCCTGCCTTTGTGATCTAAGTAGGTGGCAGGAACTAAGGCAACTACCTTCCTTGGGTTACATTCCAGATCCTCAAAAAACAAGCAACTAGTTGAGGCTAGCCCTCAATACCTTGGTAGCAGGGGCAAGAGGCTGTTGAAAGGTCTCCTTCCAAGTTCCCTCCCTCCCTTCCCCTACCATTGTACAAACAGGTATAACAGCGTGCCTCTCCTTTCTGAGCCCTCAGCCCTGAGCCCACCAGTATGTAAAGGAATGCCAGGGAAAAGGCCCTCGGGGCTTTTTCTGCGGAGGCGTGGTGCAGCAGAGGCTGAGCCACAGGGGTTGCCCGGCCCTCCACCCCGCCGCCGGCCCTCCACCCCGCCGCCGCCCCTCCACCCCATCCCTCCTGGCCTGCCCAGCCTCCAGGGCATGCCTGGCATCACGGCAAGTTGTCCTGTCAGCTCACATCAACCTCTCAGGGACCAGCAGGGTAGAAATACTCGTCTTGTTTGCCAGAATAGACACTGTTGCCCAGAGCCAACCACCACCCCACCTCAAGCCCGAGATCCCTGCAGGGCTGTGGTAGGCTACTTGGGCTCAGAGTCCCACACCTTGTGAGAAACCTTCAACGCTTGACTGTCACAAAAATGGGGCCGTCCTGGGGATCTTCTCCATCTTGCTGTGGGAGCCCCTTCTCTGCAAGGTTAGGGTTAGTGAGTGGGACCCTCTCTGAGCCACTTTCCCACAAAGTTCCACCTAGGCCTGCTGGGCACTGCACTGGCTACTCCCTCACAAGGCCATGCATGGAACCCTCAATTCCCGTGCAGTCTTCCTTCCTAAAGCCAGGATCCAAAGCTAAAGGGAGGCGCAGAAGTCATAAGCGCCCCCCAACTCCCACCACTGTCTGGCAAGGAGGTAGGTCTGGAGATGGCAGATGTATGGGGGGGGGTTGGGTTAGAGGCGGTAACCGACAGGACCGCCTCACTCCATCTGCCGACTGGATGTAAAAGTCCAGCAGACCTGGGCGGGGCTCAGTGGGTCGGGCTAGGGTCGGGAAGGGAAGGAAGCTCCACCCAAGCGGCCTCGGGACGTGGGGGACGTGACCGCGCCAAGGGAGGAGCCGCCGCCCGTATTGCCTGGAGTAGGCGGTCCTTCTACGCTCCTACCGTACTCGCAGAGCGAGGCGCCGCATGCCCTAAGGGGCCCTACAATTCACCCACAGATGGGCTTTCAAGGCGGGCCATTTCCCTCTGCCCTTCGCAGAAGCGAGCCGGGGCGCGCGGCCGAGCCTCTGAGATGCTGACTGATGAACTGCGGGTCTCGCAGCTAGTTCATAAGTGCACCTGCCCCTCATGGCCCTTTCCAGTGATGGAAACTGAGGCAGGAGGCCTACTCATGCCACTAGGGCTGTCTCCATTCCTGCCCTGCCCCTGTGCCAGTGCCCAGTGCCAAGTGGACCAAGGCCTGATCCAGAGGCGTCTCCAATTGCTAAGCACCACCATCCAGAAGGTCCGACTTGGAGCCCCAAGGTGCCCCCTGCACTTGGTCCCTCACCAGCCCCCACTTCCTGGCCAGTTCACTGCAGAACTGGCCCTAGAGTCGGTAATCCCGGCACACTGGCATACTAAGGGACCCACAAACCGACCCCTTCTATATCACTCCTGATGGCTGTAAGTTCAACAATGCTTTCTCCTTGCTCCCCCTCCAAATTTAGGCTTCCAGGCAGTGAGTACTAGATCGTTTATATGGGAAGCAGGCCCTGCCCCAAGGTCACTGGTGGTGTGGGCAAGTCCATCTTGGCACCAAACCAATGGTTGTTCAAGGCTTTGTCGACACCACAAAGTCCTTGTCAAGAAGGATCCACAGATACCCAGGTAGTGTCCCCGGTGCCCCTTGAGGGGTAGACCCGTCATTCGCGCACCATCGTAGCTGTGCATTAGTCACTGCCCATCCTGAGGGAGTCCCAACATTTTCAGCAGACAGACCCAGCACCCACTGGACACCAGCCAACTTTTGGGCCTGTGGAATGAAGCTGAGGGCCCTGGGAGATAACCTCCTGCCACCAACAAAATCCACCCCCGGCTTTGGACAAGCTACTGGGCTGTGTTGTATGGGGGAGCCTTGCCATTTACTGTCTCTCAGATCACCCTGTTGCCCTGATTCTGATCATCACAGAAAGTGTTCCTGTCGGCCTGGACATGCAGCCCTGTGCGACGGGTAAAGAGCAGACTTCGCTGCCCCTTACCTGTCGCCCAGATTCCAAGAACCATCAGTGGCAGAGTTAACGGCTTCCCTTGCAGTTAAAGCTGCCTGTTGACTGGACCAGCATCCAGGTAAACCATTTCTCAGGTAAACAAAAAAACCTAGGCTGTGCACCTGGTTTTCCCACGGAATGAGGATAGGGCAAACCTATCCCATTATGGAGGGAAACCACACTTTCATGTGCCTAGTTTGGGCTAATAGTGGTGGCTGGGAGATGGTTAGGGAGTTTAAGGTGGTTAGTAAGATGTAATGAGGAGATGGGAGGAAGAGACCCGAGGGCATTCCTCCCCCAACCATTCCGAAGCGCACGTGCTCCTCTCTCACTGGGCGGCCTGCTGTGATGCCCGCTGGAGGTTCAGGGTTCCAAGAAGTCTATAGCATTCCCACCAAATATAGCCCAGGTTCTCCAGTCGCCTGGCCACCCTCCAACCCCCTTGGGCCGAGCTATTTATACTCTGGACGTTTGGTCGCCCAGAGCGGCTGCCTCCTAGATGAAGCCCAGCCCCCGAGGGCTGTCGGATGGAGAGGCTTCTGCGAAGGTAGGGAGGCAGGATGCGAGCACGCAACTGGCTGCTCCAGGCCATTTGGTGGAGCCGCAGTGGTGAGAGGGTTTTCCAAGTCAGGAGAGACCCGGGGCTGGGGAACTAGGAGGGGAGATGACCGGGAGCCAGGAGCTCCAGGCCCGGATCCGGCACCTGAGGAACCAAGGCCCAACCCCTGGGCCACTGGAGGGTCCCTGCCTCTCTCCACGCGCCAAGCATCCCGCCGCGCCTACCTGCCACCGCCACCGCCGGCCGCAGCGTCCGCCTCTGTCCGCCTGGGCTGCTCGGCGCCGAGCCGGGGGCGACTTTAAGTGCTCTCATCCCTCGCGCGGCACGTCCCCCGCGCACGTCACCGCTGCCTGGCGCCGCCCCTGCCCTCCCCGCCGGACCCCTCGCTGCTGCCGGAGGGGGCGCCCAGCTGCTGCGCCCCGACGGCTCGGTCACTGCCATTCTCCGCTTACCAGGGAGCCCGGAACTGAACCCGTTCTCATAGGTGGTCCGGGCGCAGACCCTACCCAACACGGACCTTCTCACGCGCCCTCAGACCCAGGCTGACCGCCTCGCCTCCCCTAGGCACCCCTTTCTGCCCCTCCATTTATCCCTTTCCAAGGCTGTGGGGTCCTTCTATGATTCTGGCAAGAGAGCGCCAGCGTCCTCACTACCTTCGAGAATGGAACCTTTTTTGCCCTCCATGCCCTGGCTCGCGCCTTCTGCCGGGTGGCACGCGCCCCCACTGCACCCCATTCACCATGGGCTCCCGCCACCTGCCTCAGCTCTCGGTCTCTAGGCCTCCTTTGGATCTTCGCCCCATCCAAACCTCCACATCCTGCTGGTGTCTACGCCTGAACTGTTGCGTGGCGGTGGCGATGTCTCCCCTAGCTGAGAAGCAAGAACCGCGCAGCACCTTGGACTATAGGGGGATCTTGGGCAAGGCTGCCAACCTCCTTGAACTTCCGCTTTCCCCTGTGGTCGGGCGCTTGCAAAGCCAGATGCAGACACTGACACCACACTCTGCTCTGTCACCCTTCAACTCCAAGCCCAGCGCGGGAGATGAGAACCGGACACCAGCTTTCCATCCTACTCCACAAATGCTGACTGCCTGGAAAGGATCAGGGTTGGGAAAAAGCAGAGTCTTTCTTCTGAGCAGATTCTTCCCAGTCCTCCGGGAGCGTGCATCTTCAGCCTCATTTTACCCCCTGCATGCAATGGAAATAACTGGCACTTTGGGTGCTAGGTTTGAGCAGGCATCAGGGAGCATGACCTTTGATGGACAGGGCCCAGGACACTTATTCTTGGGCATCTAGCCTGGGTTAAAGAAGCACTCCATCTCATTTCTAATGAGGCTCCTAAACGACCCCAGATCCCCTGAGGCTAGGAAGTTTAGAGCATAATTCAACTTTAGACAAAGATCTCAATACATGCAGAATGGAAAAAGGTGATCCCCAAGTCCAGAATGTCACAACTGTCCACTCTTCTGGCCTTGATAACCAGAGGGCACCATAGCATTAGTTTTGGCCCCATAGTCAACCATCCTGAGTCCTTACCTACTGAGATGCCCAGGCTAGTAGGACCAACTGCTCTATTGAGTGTTCAGCACCCATCCTCCAATGGACCTTCCATGAAGAGTCATTCAGGATGGGTCTCCACCCCTGCCTAGGGTCTCACTATCACTTCAAAGATGCTAGGGAAACCATTCATGGTAAGAATCCCATGGCCTCCAGCAAGTGGCATATGGGGCCTTCAGGGATGAAGACCTGGGATAGGTGGCTAACTTCTGGGAGGTAGGGCAGCCAAACTTCCAGCCCCAGCCACTGAAGATGTTACAGATACCCAGACACCATCCCCAGATGTGGGGGCTAGCGATATACTCTTCTTGGGCTCACAGTTCACTGTGGCAGGAGCTGTTTGCCACCCCTCACCATTCCTTCAGACCAAATAACTCAGAGCTGCCCACAAGGAAACAGAAACCAAACCTGTGCATCCTCTTGTCTCCCAGACGCCAGGAGCTGCACCATCCACAGCCAGGTTTCTGCAAACTCTGAGACCTAGTTGCTCTAGGACACCCAATACTCCATTTTCTGGGTGAGTCTAGGAGCATTCAAGATCTAGAGCCCAAGAGCAAAATTCCCACAGCACAGCCTCTACTGTTCCAGCACTGATGTGGGAGCTCTCTCCATACTGGTATCTGGTGTCTAGTCTGCCCACCATGGGCCTGTACCAGCTCAGGATGCCCTTTTCTGAAGGGAAGGTACCTGGGAAGATGTAGCTATCCCTGGGTGGTGTCAGTTTCCTAGCACTGCCCAATGATCCAGCCAGATTCAGTCCTGCCCTCCAACGTCCGCCATGTCCCTCCAGGCACCCTACCAGTCCCACCTCATACCATTCCAGTCTATAGCTTCAGGTCCCATCAGGCCCTGGAATGTGCTTTGAGGAGACTTAGTGGCTGGAATCCTGCAGAACATGGACTTTCCCAAGATCTTCCCAACCATGGAATGTGAAGGATCTATCACCAATCTTGAGCAAGCATCCAGTCTCCCAGACAGGGTGGGGGCCAGGATCCTCCTCTGTCTCCAAAATGATCTTAGAAACAGGGAAAGAGTTTTCTGAAGGTTCCCCTGTCAGCTGCCTCTGGGAAGGCAGGTGGAAGGTCAAGTCTCTCCAGTCGGGAGCCAGGAAGGAGCCTAGAAGGTTCTGCAGAGCCATACAGACACCACATCGGCAGCCCATGGAGATTCTTCACGATCCCCCAGATTATAGCCTAGTCACTATGGCTGGGCACGCCTACATGAACCAACCACCCAGCACCAGTTGCTACCCCATGATGGATTGAGGCCAGGACAAGCTGGGTCAGGTGAAGAAGGCCAAGTCACTGAGACATTCTGTCCCAACCACAGCTCCCCTCCCTAGGGTCCCCAGCTGCCTGGCTCCTGCCCCTGCTCCCTGAATAATCTCTGTCCAGGGGACTTAGTGACACACTACTGAACCCTGTTACTCCACACTGAGGGCACTTTTCCTCCAGGGCCTGCAGGGTTAGTGGGATGCAGCCTTCCCTGGCCCAGACTGGAAAGGCGTGCTGCTGTGTGAGGCTCATGGAAGCAGAAGCCCCACCGGACACAGCCTGGACCCAAGACCATGAGTTTGGGACCAACCCATTCCTTCATTCTATGCTTTCCCCAGGTTTTTCCTTCCCAAATCCTCTGGAGAAAATAAAAACAAAAAATTTTCCACTGTGCAGCACCCAGAGAGTGGGCCGGTGGGAGAAATTAAATCTCAGCCTAACCCAGCCACACACACACCTGTGCTCTGTTGGTGTTGGGCAATAAATATTAGGGTGTTTGTCAGGAGTGATGAGTGGGTGTTATGTATGGGTGGTGTGTGTGTGTGTGTGTGTGTGTGTGTGTGTGTGTGTGTGTGTGTTTGAGTATGGCAGGTAAGGAATTATGTGCTGTGGATAGGTGTGGATATTGGGTGTTTGTGTGTGCTGTGTTGTGCATGAGTGTTGGGTGTGTGGTAGAGGTAGGGGCATTAAGTGTGCATAGGTGTTGGGTATGTTTGTGTAGGTACAGGCATTTAGCTATGATTGTTGAGTGGGTATTGGGGATGTTGGGTAGATGTTATGCATGAGTGTTGGAGGTATTAGTGTGCTTGTGTGCTTTGAGTAGGTATTTGCATGTGGGTGTGCCTGCATGTTGGGCATATGGTGTACATTTGTTGCATGTGTTTGTATGGAGGTGTCTGTGAGTATTGGGCTGTGGGTATGCATGGGTATTGGGTGTTTGTGTGGATGCGTGGGTGTTGAAAGTATAAGGATGGAGTATTGAATGCTTGTGTGTTGATATGTTTGTATGTGATGTGTGTGGTCGAGAAGGGTGTTGGGGATTAGGGTGGAGATTAGATGTTGTGGTTATTAGATGTTGTGGTGTGGCTGTGTTTATGTATGATGTGTGTAGTTTGGATGTTGTGTAAATTGGGGTGTTTATTTGTGCATGTGTTCATGCTCCATGTAAATGTTAGGCTATGGGTATGTGGGACTGTTGGATGTGTGTAGTCTAATAGGAACAGCCAACTGCTGACCAGGCCTTCTCCTTAGCAGCAATAACAACCTCTCTTCCACATCTTCTGGAGCCAGAACTGGACAAGAACAGAACTTCTGGAACTTAGAACCAGGGCCACCTAGGCAGTAATTCCAGGGTCATGGGGAGAAGGAAGCACAGCAAGGAAGACAGAGGAGCAAAGTCCCTCTGGTCTTCAGGCTCCTGGTCTGTGATGTGGGCCTAGCAGAACCCATCTGAAGTTCCTTGGGGGTTAACTTCTGGGGTCTCCATTTTATTCTTAGTCATTCCACTCTACCTTCCTCAGGACCCAGGCGGGCAATCCTGTATTGGGTTTCAAATGCATTTGTTTTCCTCTCCCCCTACTTCTGCCCATCTGGGACTGGACTCCCCATGCCAACTTCCGATGCTATCTGATGCTCTCTGCTGAGTTTCACTTGGACATCCACAAATGGGCACCAACAAGAAGGAGGAAAAGGCTCGGGAACAACAGTTACACATGCTGTGGCCTCAGGAAGCAGCTGGGTGTGAACCATTTGAGACAGTCAAGTGTTTGAATATATGAGCAGGATATGCTCCACAACTGAGCAGGCCAACCAGTAGAAAGCAAAATGCATACTTAAGAGAGTGGAGCTTTGTTTTTCCATTAGGATTGCACATGTACAAAAGGGTGTGGTGTCCACACAGCAGTCTCAGAACCCAGGGACCGAGGCACAAAGATTTGGAGTGTGAGGCCAATCTG